TTCGGACAGGCTGTCCATAGAAGCCACGATCCCTCTCATGGCAATCTCCATCTTTTCCATGGCCTCCTGTGTTTCCTTGAGCTGGCAGAGGCACTTCAGGGTGCCTGGTGTGTCCGTCGAGTTGGCCGAATCTAGCCTCCTCGACACACCCATGATCCGGTTGACCACGTCCTTGAAGAGGCCGGCGAGGGAGTTGGTGAGCTCGACGTGCTTGTCCTCCACCAATTGGTGTGCTGCTTGCACTTGTTTGCTTGAGTCCCAGGCTGCATTCTCTGAGTGCCGGATGAGCTGCAGGTAGTGCTCGTCCAACCGGACTAAGAGGTCCCTCGCCGTCTGGGACGACGACGCGTCGCAAAGCTGTTCCGACAAAGCCTTGAGGGTCGGTAACAACTTGTCTCTTAGCGGTCCGAAGAAGATTTCCAATCCATTTTTGAGTTCTCCGTGGAACTCTCTGAAGGCGCTGACTTGTGGGGCCGCATCAGGGCGCGGCGGGGCGTCCACCTTCTTCACATCGGACTTGTTGTCGTCCTTGGGAGAGGACGCCGGGGCCTCCGCAGATGCAGAGGCTACTTTGTCGTCCTGCGTGGACGCCTTGGTGGTCTCCACGGTCTTCTCCTCCTTTGAGCCCGTATCTGACTCAGCCTTCTTCTTGCCATCCTTGTCCGGGACAGTAGTTGAATGCTGGTCATCAGGGGGGTCGCATGGAGGTGTTGCTGGAGGCGGCAAAGGAGGCTCGTCTCCGGGCGTCGGGGATGAGGACCCGGAAGACTTTGCTGCAGGTCTCAGGGGCCTGCGCTTTCTGCTCCCACAGCCATGCCACAGGAGCAGGAGGGCGAGCAGAAACCACGGCAAAATCCGAGGCAGATAAGGGGCAATCTCTGTGACAACCTTGTCTGCCCATTGTGCATGCGATGTGAGCATCTCTGTGTCCTCATCCATGCTGGGGTCCAAGGCCACGGGTCTGCTCTGGGCAGCTTTGGTTCGCCTGAGCGGGAACCCGGAGTCCATGGCGAAAGGAGGAGATCAGCAGTTGGAGCTCGAGGAGAAAAGAGGCGCTAGCACAACACACAGTTATCGCACTTCCACCAGAGACACAGCGGCACCAAGGTTTCATGCCTACACATGTGACAAGGCAGGCGCAACTGAAATCAAACCTACTTACATCACCCATTTAGAGCAGAAGTCTGTTTCACATCTCACAGTGCGGTTCAAGGGCAGTGCAGCAAGGCGCCGGTTGTGGCAGTACATATGACATCATTGCCAAGGTGGCGGCGGGGGGCGTGGTGCCCTCGTACTCTGTATGCCTAGGGCACTGGCTATCTCATCGACAGCCTGACGGACGTCTCCAAGTTCCTCAGAGACATACGACACCTTCGCGTTCAGAGATTGCGCCATTTGCTCTGGGCTCTGCGCATTCCCTGTCTGCGGTTGCTTCCACGATTGCACAGTTTTGTTGAGTGCGTGAATCCTACTCTCAAGGGCATGGAATGTGGAAATAACAGCCTGGGTATGTTCCTCATAGAGGTTATGTTCCCTATCTGTCATAGAATCAAATGACTCCCTAATATGGCGAGATGGTTGGCCATCTCCCTGAGAGTTTCTGGAAAATGCACTTGCAACGACTGAGTGTTCCGCTTCAGCAAGGCCAAAACCGAGAGCAGCTCCTGGTGTTGCTCCATAATGATCCGGAGACGGTCATTGAGGATCTTGCGGTTTGTCCGCCACTCCTTTTTAGTGGCGGCCAAGAGGTCCTGAGTAGCCGTCTGTAGGAAGCTGGCAGGTTCCAGCAGCACCCCGTTGTCAACAGGTGTTGGCGGTCTTTCCAGCAGGCTTCGGACTTCCTGAAACTGTCGGAGAGTTTCCGTAACTTCAAGAAGGCCTTGGTCCAGTCTGCGTAGCCAGGCCACAACTTTGCCCACCGCTGTTGCCAAAGCAAACAGACAGAGGAGCATCCAGGGCATCACTGTCGTTTCTGGGATCCATGCAAGCCCTTCCTCAAGAAGAATCATCAACCACATCATGACGGGCCCTAGCCAAACGACCTAACTGCTGCTGAGGGCACACTGCGGCGGGGTCCTCAATTGAGTCGCTGGCTGGGACCGTGTCTCTTATTCATGCAAACCCTCGATCCTTGCAGGTTGGAAAAGCCTCCACGGGGGCAGCGAGACACCTAGTGCCCCCCAACAGAGGGCTTCTGCTGTGCAATCCAGGCGACACTCCATTCCAACAGCTGAAAGTCTGCAAAATTTCTATCATCAACGGACAGCGGTTCAAGCTCTTCGAACGTTACGAAGTCCCGTAGAACCTCCTGAAGGGCTCCCATATAAGCCCTGAGGCGGGGGGCTTGTTGAATCCACGGCCACCACGAGGCTATATTGCCTACAACTTCAAGCAGGAAGGTCTTGGCAGCATAGCCAGCAATTTCCTCTGGCATACATTCAAGGTGATCCTGAACTTCTTCCGGTTGCAGTACAAAGAAAGGCCGCAAGTGCGGCGGTTGTATCGCTTCCACATGTACGAGGGCCATGGGGCAAAGTGGCCCAAAAAGGTTACAGGAGTGACTAGCAGTATATACCACAGGTTGACCCGTGAGATAGCAAGTAAGTAGGACAGGATCAAAAGATAGTACGCATACATAGCAGTGTGGAAGAGCAGAGTCCAAGTAATACCTATGCAGGCAAGCAGCAGGCAAGGGCAAGTAAGGGCAGTGCAAGGAAAGTGCAGCGTCGCGGTCCGTGTATTTCACACGAACTCAGACCCCTGATCCGAGATTCACTCCGAGTCAAGCACCTCCACCACTTCTACATGGTCTAGCTTCGCGCAGCAGGCTTGGAAACTAGCATTACAAATTGGTTTCCTGAAGGCACCGGGAAACATGCCAAGGGAGTCGGCATGTTCAGGTGTAGGGAGTGAGAAACCTAACATACGCAATTTAGGTATGATCTCCATGTGAAGCGCCGAGGCAGTCATTGTACAAAATGCCACGAGCACCACCCTGTCTGAGGCTCTCGCTAATGGTTCCGAAACGTATCCCGCATGAAGCCTCCTACGCGCATCGAAGATAACCGGTTCGTCAATGTTGAGGACGGTGCCCTGGAGTCGGAATCCCTTCGAGGGCATCGCAACAGGTCCAGCCCAATCCTGAATCCAGAGTCCTGACCCTGGGGACGGTGGGGTGAGACAAACAACTAGCGAGGGGTAGGGTCCGTTGTTAGTGTCCCTATGAGGCTCACTTCGGCATCCTTCGCGAATGACATAAGTGGTAAAGGCCAGGTTCGGGGCAATGGAGCGGAGGAATCTAGCTACAACACAGTTGAACAAGGGCACATCAATGGAATGCGACAACAGCAGCCCCTTATTCCTGGGGTTGGCCCCACCAACGACGTAAGACAAGCCGTCCTTACCGCGTTTCCTAAAGGACTGCGGCAGTCCTCGGAAGAGCCTCAACACCTCTCGCTTAGTCGGTGCCTCCTTTCTCCTAAGTAGGGTCAAGGCCTTAGACTCTACCGGCATGATAAGCCAGTCGAAAGTAACAGCGACATCTGGGTCAACAGGATGGGTTCCGAGTGACCTAAGGTGGGCCTCAGGGTCCCAAGGGTCGTGTGCGTCGCACGTCAAGTCTATCCTAAGGCTGCGTGCGGGAGGTGCTCTCGGATCCTCACTCAAGTCAATAGGGATATGCGGTGCAGGCAGCAGGCAGCAAGCAGGCCACATAACTACCACTAGCGACAATTGGTTCTGATGTCGTCTCTGAGCCAGGGGCACTGCGGGGAATGGGCATGACAAAAAAGGGACCGCCCTGCCCCCCCCCCCCCTAAAACCACACCCCAGGAAGCAAGGAGTTCACGACCATCTCCTGGAGTGAAAGACACTATTTTGGAAGCTCTCTTCCCTGCTGAGAGCTTGAAAGTTCGGGGGCAACGGCACCGCTTGCAACTCTCGAAGTTCCTGCGGGAGCCTCGGCAGACGCCGCCACAAGGTGCAGCGGGGTCCTGTTTCCCAGAACCAACCCTGAGCACAGGCACATGGGGATGAGAATGGTACAGGTAGACATCTGTGGGGCCTTAGCGTGTAGTGCGCCGATAAGGTTCCACAATTGCAGGCATCTCCCTTGCAGTGTATCTGCCCCGGGTATGATGCTTTCTTGCACAACCAAGCGAACAGAGGCTCGGGCTCTCGTGACAAGAGCAACAGCAACTATCAGTCCCTCGGGTCTGATTTCCCCGAACACACAGGGTCCATTCGGCATCTCCTTAGCAGCGCGGATGTGGAGGACGTTGAGCTCATACGGCTCTTCTGGAAACCAGCGAAAGGGACGCAAGCATGCGTCCGCGTTGTTCACAATCACGAGCTGTCTACCCAACAAGTCACTATTAGGGTGTCTCGGCTTCCAATAAGCCGTCCATTCAGGCAGAAGCGCCAGCCACGCATCACGGTCCTTAGCTGCCGTCTCCCAGGTTGCAGGATAGGCCTCGGTACGCACGGCAGCATACACCAGCTGTATTTTACGAAGTATAGTGTGCCTGACCCTAGCCAGTGTTGTTGACCCCGACATTTGGGCGAAAGTTCCAAACGAGTCTCGCAGCCCTGCCAGCGGGGTCGAGAGCTGGTACCGCGCCACATGGCCCCAGTAAGTCCAGACTTGTTTAAGCCATCTACTTGCCCATGTCGGGATCTCCAGGCTTGCCAAGAAGCATTTGACGGCTCGTCTCCTAGAGACCATGTTTGTGACAAACTCGCCCAGAAGGTCGGGCGGCAGGTCCATAAGCCCTAACAGCAACGTGTTCTGTTGTGCGTCTAATTGTCTGACTGATGCAGCATCTGGCCAGACTAGCCCACTCGCCCAAACCCATTTGGAAGTCACATACAAGTCAAAAAGTTTAACTTTGTGCGCCCCCAGGAGCGATCTGGAGGCAAGCAAGCGTCTCATAGCAAAGTAGGTGTTGCTAGCCCTACAAACCGATCTCGCAAGGCAGACAGAGGGCCTAAAATTGAAAGAGAGCGGAATGCCCAGATAAAGGAGACTGGGCGCCGTTTGGAGTGGTTGTGCTTCTCCTCTCAGCCACACCGCAGGGGCCGTATCTGGCTCAGTCTCCAGGACACAAGATTTCCGTACATTGATACGGAGTCCTATCGTCTCTAGGACCTGCGCAATATCCCTGGCTTTGGCTTGCAGGCTAAGGCAATCGCTTGCAAGGAGCAGCACATCGTCTGCGAACAGCAGACAATGCGGGAGATCCCATCCCGGGAACGTATGTTGCCACTCCCGGACTAATTTGCCCACGAAAAAATCTACGATCCTGCTAAAGAGCACTGCGCTATATGCCGTGCCCTGGAGCAACCCCCGCTGTAGGGGTACCGACCAAGCCGAAGTCCCTAGTCGCATGTGGACCTTGTTATCGTGGCATAACTGCCACAGCAGCCAGGTCTCCCTGGAGGCCTCGGTGTGAAGCAAGAATTCAGCGATAGCGTATCGAATGCCGCTTTGACATCCATCTTAGCCAGGATTGGTTTGCAGCCGCGGGTTTACAGCGGATATTTTGGGCTCTTTGCACTCTTAGTGCGCGTGCTACCCTTGAACAAAAAGGGCTACAGTGAACAACAAAGCAAAATAATTACCAAACAAGACCCGCATACACCAACACGCCTCCCGAGGGCGGCGTGTGGGAAAAGGTGTACCCGGCTCCAGGTGGCCGGGATACAAAGGGTGTGCGGTAAACTTACCTACCGCAACCTGACTCAAACCCTTTCGGTTTTTACTACTGAGGCATTCAGAGCCAAGAGGTGCCTGCCATCTGCATAGTAGTTGTTCAGACCATGCAACAGCATCTGGATGCGCGCACGGTCCAGCGGCTTGGTAAGCAAGTCGGCTGACATTTCTTCAGTGCCTTTTTGGCCTAGCACAACCTTTCCTTTCTCGACGATGTCTTGCACCCATGAGAACACCGTGTATATGTGTCCAAGTCCGTGGCATGAGCCTGGACAGGCTTGTACTTGCATCCGTGTACGCCTGAATTGGAAGGAGGATTCCCCAATCTTTCAGCGTCGGCTGTTCTCCAAGAACGTTGCAAGTGCCAGAGACCAACCCATGGTATTCAGCTTCTACAATGCTACAAGCAGTTTCGCCGTTGAGCTGCCAAGCCAGATGCACTATCCAGTCGTAGACTTACGCGTCCGCAAGCATCTAGCATGATCGCCGCCCGCCCATAGCGTCACGCGGTGCACGCAAGACTGGTGTGGAAACAGGTGCACGAGACGACGGCTGCACGCAAGTAACGTGCCCCTCGCTTCAGCATCGCCAGATGTGCCGTGGTGGGGCTTTTCACGCCCTTCGGGGATACCTGGAGATCAGGCCTGTTTTGAGACAGATAAGCCAGTCTCATGCTCACAGGCATCCTCGGCGGACAGAGGCTGGGCGTTCTCAACCTCCTCTATCCTCTCCTTCACCAAGGCAGTCGTTGCCTTGGCGCCTTCACAGCCAACATCTCGCAGGATGATGTCGGCATGTCGAGGGTCTGCTTCCAACTCTATTCCTTTCAAAGTCCACACACTAAGCGGTTGAGGATGTCGACGGACTGCTGCGTCCCAGCCATTCTTGGCGGTCCGAGGTAACCACGGACTTCCACGGTCCAGCGCTTCCCCAGCTCGGTGGCGAACCACTCAAGCTGTGGCTTGGCACCCAGGCCACTAAAGTCGCCACCGTGGACCTCCCCGTTCGGGATGGTAGTACAGACAGGAATTGGAGGTGCCACGTAGGAAGCCCAACTGAATCATCACCCTCAGGTTTGTCGCCTCGCAGGGGCATCACGAGTGCCGTAAAGGCCCTTGCGAAGCAGCCCTACATACTTTGAAGTGTCCACACCTGTCTCCTCGGGGGCTGGATGAGCGTCGAGCATCAGCCCAGACATGAGCTTTTTTGATATCCAGAAAGATCTTCCTGGCATTCAGGCTGTGCCGTCCCAGCCACTGAGTTCAGAAACCCTGTCCTGAACGACAGCAGAAAACTTTCGATCATACCCTCCTCCGTGTCCACCTGGGGGTGCGGTTTCTTCGAGGCAGATGAGGGCGCATCGCTGGAAGGCTCGCGGGGTCTCGGCGCCGAAGTGGCGCTCGGATCTCCAACTCTGGCCTTTTTTCTTGGCCTGTTGCCGGGCCTTCTGGGCCGGAGCCGCCTCCTGACCGCTGGGGTTGGCGAGCTGTCTCTTAGCAGGTCCTTCAGTTTGGCTGCCACTAACATTGTCCGACCCTCGTCGGACTTCTCAAGCTCTGGGGATGCCAACATGGTGGTGGGCATCCTCCTTCACACCGCCGGGCTCCTCCTGCTCACGGTCGCTCGGCACGTTCACGTTCCATGCGCTCGCGGTCCCGAATCTTCGGCTTCGGCAGAAGGAAGTCCCTTCGCTTTGGCGATCCTGCCGGCTCGGCCGGCCTCATCGTCTTTGCATCCACCGGCGTGCTCTACTCTTGGCCTGCAGTTCCGGTCGGTGAGGCGGGACGCAGCCTTTGTTCGGAGCTCCTTGGAGCCAGCCTTCGGCACACGATGTCCGTCATCGTCTTCCTCCTCGGCCTCGGCGTCCCGGCGCCCAGGACGGTTCCTGGACGACCTCGTCCTCTCGCCAGCCTCGTCCTGCCTGCTCGGACATCGGCCTCCGACTCCGCCAAAGACTCAGATTTTGCCAACGCTGAGTCCCTGCGTGACTCACTCGTAGAACTAGGCTATAGCGCAATAGCCATCAAGGTATCAAACTACTAGCGTTGCCTGTTGCAGCTGGCACAGTAGCTTGAGAGCCCTTGATGGCCGGAGCCCGCAGTGCTCCGAGTCCGGACTGCCAAGCTTCGCCCGCAGCGCGGAAGACAGCAGACAGCTACGCTTGCTGTGTAGGGTTTAACCGGGTACAGGGTACAGGCAGCTAAGCCTCCCGCACCCTGTTTCTGTGACCCTATGGGAAACCACTAGGTAAAACAGGTCGCGTCCGAGTGACGCTTCCTTCAGCCAGACTGTAAAGGCTGCAGCTTCGAGCGACTCTAACTGCCTCTAAATTCTGAGTTGCTAGCAGCGCCTGCGAGTGCAGGAGTCCTAGAGCAGTGTGTTGGTGAACAGGTAATCGCTGGTTCCAGATCTCCAGGTGCCTGTGCGACTAGGTGTGGAACAGTGTCAACAACTTGTCTGTTGTGAATTTGTAATTTGTTTTGTGTAGCCTCGACCATCCGTTAGGCATGACGTCTGATCCTGGCATTGTCTGACCTCAGTCTTTTTTGACCCGTGGCCGTGGGCTGCTCCCTTGTGTGTATCCCTACCCATGCTATAGATAAACTTCGCAGACCCAAGCCGTGTCAGTCTATGAAACCGTCTTTGAACCTGTCCGCTTGCCTTCCGTTCTCACCTCTGCTCCCTTTTGAGGTTGGAGAAGCTGCTCGACAAGCCATCTATCAATTCACAAATCCTAAGCTGGTCACTCCTGGAGTAGAAGAGGCTGTACATGAAGCCTTGGCCTGAAAAGAAACACCGAGCACTTCAATGAGGTCCCGAAGCGGCTTCGAGGTGGAGGCCACACTCACCTCCGACAAAGTAGCCACCACACCTCGGAGTTGCGGCCTTCGAACCAAATGCAGCCGTGACGCGCAGAGCTCCCGGCGGTTTCCAACCAGAATTTCCCCAGCCACGCTGCCTCAGTGAAAAGAAAAGAAGGCACCTCAGGCTTTTGTCTTCTGTCCTGAGGTTTCAGCACGGAGAAATTGTTATTCCGTGCAAAGAGTCGGGCCGCCTCCAACAGACGACGGTCGGGCCTCTCGTGAAATGTGCCGTCTTCAATAAACTTGTGCCATCTCATATGTTCTTGTCTTGCAGCCGTCACAGGTACAGGCAAGTCTCTGCAGCGCCTCACAGCGATGAAGCCCACGTTCAAGGACCTGCGCGGAGAGCTGGCGATCGCGCGATCGGCTGAGCTCGGCCTCTCCGCTCCGCTGAGCTCGGCCCTGAGCTCCGGGCTCGCCCACACCGCCGTTGGTGGTCAAGAGCTTCCCCGTGGCCGCGCAGCGCAGCACCGGCCTCGCCCCAGACCAAAGCGCCCTGCTTCCCTCCCTTTTGCCCTCTCCCCTTCCGGCAAAGGGCGTGATGTCCCCCTGAAACTCACAGTCCGCATCCTCAACTTGCAGGTCAGACTGGGAGCAGCCGACTAGCCCACCAAGTCCCTGACGTAGTAGGCGACGGCATCATATGCATCTAATGCCAGTACATGCAAGCGAATCAGATCCTGGCACGAGCACGACATAAGCACACGTGAGCACCCTGCAACTCCTCCACCAAGCCTGATGGCCACACCAATCATGCTTCGGATAGAACATCGAGTCAGGGGGTACATCCCAGTCCACGACATGCAACCTGCAAAGATGCACAAGTATGCACATCGCAGATCCCACCGTTACTCGATGTCATGTTGCAGGCAATTCAGAAACATTGAGGCGAGCTCTTTATCTCCCATCTGTTGAGTAGCTTCTGAATTTTCGGCCTGCGGAAGCTTTTTTGGATGCTCACAGAAATCTGCGGGTCTCAGTGTCAGTGTCAGACAGTCAGAGGCTGTCACGAGATGCGATCGGCGTCCTGACTTAATGTGCACTGCCTCTTTCCTTCTACGAGCTTTAGATGTCTCTCCTTCTGCAGCATGACAAGTAAGATGTCTGCCCAGTTGGCCGCCGTAGCTGCAGCCTGTGGGGCTCGCTTACGGTAAGCCGGGATGCTTTCGGCATTTCTCTTCTTTTGGCCAACTCGCTTTCATGCTCCTGATGGATTGAAGCATGCTTTCACTGGGCATCCCCCAATGGCTCAAGACCAGCGCAAACCTGTGGAATCGAGTCAAGTAGGGTGCCACGGTGCCACAACTGCCGCAAGAAGGCTGGGGAACCGGCTTGCCCTTCTCTGGGCCAGATGCTGCACACTTCTCCACATTCAGGCAATCCTGCTTGCACTAGTCACTAGGAATCTGCAAAAGATTTCTTGGCTTTTGTCGAGTCGCCACAATTTGAGCACCGGAATTACAGCAACCGCGGCACCTGAGAAGCTTCAAACTGCCAGTGAAAAGCTGCAGTGTGGCAGCTGGCAGTCTGAGGGAGGTACCCGGGCCGTGCGGCGCTGAGGTTGTGAATGAAGTGGCCGTCATAAACAAAGCCGGTAGTTGCCGCTGTTGGTGCTGCCGTTGCCGGCGTATGCACGGAGGGGTGTACCACGGAGGGTTTCACGTCTTCTCTCGGAAGGTTCGTGGTCGCTTTTGGCTGCGGAGAACCCGCTGCAGGCGACACGGCTTGGGCTTCGACGCTGGTGGCTTCGACGCTGCGGGGATTGCCGAGTGGCTCGCCTCGGCCCAACAGATTTGAGATAACCGCTTCCTTTGTGATGCTTTGCGTGTCCCGCCTGCGTGCAGTGAGAGACCGCCTGCGGTCATCCTACGAGAAAGCAATCCATTCTCTCAAACTTCCCCCAGAGCACATGGCCTGAAGTTTCTCAGGACCATGAAGGCACATGCCGTCACCTCGGCCCACTCTCATGTAACTCCGCAACCATCCGTTGACGTTCTGAGGCCCTCGACGCCAGCAGAAGAAAGGAACTTCTTGCAGAAGTCCACCGCGTCGCATTTAGGACTACGAGGACCTCTGCCAAAGCTCTCTTCCGCCGTGCTCTTGAAAAAAAGCTAAGAGATGCTCCGAAAGTGGCGGCACGGCACGTTGAATTAACGGAGACCGAGTCGCCGGAACGTGGCATGAAAACATGCCGAGGAATGCTACGCGAACAGGCCAATCTTTGGGCCGCTGCATGGCTGTGGCAGAGATGAACAGTATAAACTTTAGTATAAACATCTGTCTCTTCTTTGACCTTTTCCGGGTTTCTCGGATCGGCAGTGGAGGCCCGGTGGCCTGAAGAGCTCCTTGCAGTTTTGTTGCGTCCGCATCACAGCGGCAGATCTCTTCTTTCCGGAGAAGGACCGCGCCGCAATGGCAAAGGTGCTCTTCGTCAAAAGCCAAGACCTCCGCGCAGCGCCTGCGCGCAGAACTCGCAGTCGCGGCTTCGGCGGCTTGCCCGGAGGCCCGGCCCGAGTCGGCAGCGAGCGCAGTCACAGGAGAAGTCCCAGCTGCAGCACAGGGCACGCAGCTGGGAAGTAGCAATCCAGGCCTGGCCAGGCCTGGTCTTCACAAGGCGTTTCCGATCCTGAAAAGGTACTCGTCGCGACTTGACGCCAGGTCTCGCGGCTCTGGCGCTGCAGTGCACCTCCAGCGGCAAGCTGAGGTCCAGGTATGCAAACCTGTGGCACTGCCAACAGGATTGCTCCATGGACAGACGGAGCCTAACTCTGCTGCACAAGCCACGTAATCTCTTCGCCCGGCTCGATGTCACGCAGCGCGAAGAAGTGAACACATCCCCCGCCAATCTGTTCGACACAGTTGGGCACGCAGCTATGGTTGGTGTACCTCGGCCAAGGCAGGGCCAAGGCAATAAGTTTTTTGCTGCGAAGCTCTTTTTTCAGCTGAGCTTCGAAGCGGCGGGGGCGAGACCGTGGCCGTCTCGACCCTCTGGTCCCAAACCAAAGGCGTTCAGTGGCACGGCCGCTAAGACGGCAGTGAGGACTTCTGCTTCGAGGCGCCGCGGAGGCGGAGGCGACTGCAGGCGTAAAGCGCTGTCAGCGTCCTTCAAAATCTCCAGGAAGAGCTTCGCAGCCACGGCCCGAAGCCGCGCGCGGCGCCGGGCCTCGGCTCTCTTTTTGAAGCTTTGCTAGTCGCTTTGCACCGCCCTGCCGACGGACACCATTTCGGTCATTGGATGTGTTCGATGCTCGCCCGTGATTGGGCCGACTCAAAAGCTGAAGTGTCTTTAAAACTTCTAGAACTTGAAAATACGCCTGGTGCGGTCTCTTGAGTCGCGGTTTTGCCGGCATCGACGCAGTGTTCCGCGGTCCGGCAGTGCTCAGCCGTCCTTTGTCCGTGTTGTTCTCTCGTATTTGCAATCTGCCTCCGACTCCTCTGTGAGCTTCTTTCAGGTGACAACATTGGAAGCCCGCCAATCGCAGTTGGCTCCCCCAGACATCGCGGCATTGAGCATGGTCATCAGCAGCATGACAGCATTTATATCGGTCAAGTAGGCATCGTCTCGGCTTCGTGCTACCTTCCACTCGCTGCCTGCGGGTGTCTTCGTAGCGGTCGGGCGTCGCTTGACGGGCGGTCGTGATGAATGAAGCAAGCTGAGTGCAGCAGAACTTAGCAGTTCTCGCTCGACCCTTGTAATGCGGTGCTTCGGCTTACTGGTGCACCTCGGGGTTTGTCGCGCCAAATCTGTTTGCGCTTCGTCGCCTGGTGCCTCTAAGTATTCTGTGTCAGGGCGCTTTTCATTGTGCGCCCTGTGCTTCCGCTGCTCTGAATACCGGTCTTTGGTTGTCCTTAATGTCGACGGTTTCTGATGCGTGAGTGCGGGGCGGCACGAAAGTGGTGCGTGGTGCATTCGCCCCTTTGCGCTTCATGTCTTTGTTTTGTCATGCGGTCTCACTCGATTGTCTTCCGACATGTTATTTGCTGCTAACGTGATCTCGCCGACACGGGAGAATGACATTCTGCCTTCGTCGGTGCTGCAGACTTTGTGCGTGTGGAGGTCTGACTCACCTGGAGCAGCCAAGCAGCACCCGGTCGCGACAGCGGCTCTTGCACCAAGTCCAGAAGGTCGCTCACATTGCCTGTCCAGGACTCCAGGTCACGCGGGTGCTAGGAATGGGCTTGGGCTTTTTCTTCTTTTTTCAAGGTTGGTTTTTTGTATTTGTCTTCGGTCTCGTGTTTGGGGACCTCCTGCTCGAGTCCGCACCGTTTTGGTTAGCAAACCCGTTTTGGGTCACTTAGCAAACTTTCCCCTCGCCGCGCGATTATCGGATTCATCATATATCCTAACACGCCCCGTCATTTGGCGATTTCGGTTCATCATATGTCTTCAACACACCCCGTCATTTGGCGATTCCGGTTCACCATATTAAGTTATATCTTAAACGAACCCCCTCATTTGGCGATTCCGGTTCGTCATATATCCTAAACATGACCCCTCGGCATTTCGCGCTTCGGATTCATCCTATATCTTAAACACGCCCCTTCATTTGGCGATTTGCTTGCCCTGCCTGCGCCCCTGCTTACGTGCTTGCTTGCTTGGAAGCAGCGCGGTCGGAACAAAAATGCAAAAAACGAAAGAATAAGCAACACATTCCACCACCGCTAAGCATGCAATCACCAGCTCCAAGTAGAGCGCAGGTGTCACCGAATTCACGCTTACAGAGCTCTGAAGACACTGGCTCTGCAACTGCGACGAAACGAAGAGCGGAAGAGTCGGAAGTTCCTCTCCGCAGAGTGGATAGTTATCCTGCACCAGGTAATCCGAAGGAAGTATTGCACCGAATCTATGCCCCCAGCCATGTGAACCGACAGTTTTTGCGTGGCTTCCGTAGGGCTCTGAGAGGCACCCGACTATCGACAGACGTGCCCCTCGGCAACGTGCAAAGTGCGAGCAGCTTTCGCGGCACGTTGGAGCCACCGAGGTGGAACATGCAGAGTACCCGGCCAACAGCAGTGTAAATGCGTCAGGAGATCGAGCAGTGGAGCTTTTCCGGGTTTCTCTCCCTCGGGTTGAGCCGAATGCATCGCCGAACGCGAGGGCAGCCGGACTCATAGGGGTAACCCGACTGACAAACGACCTTACAGCGACTCCAGTTGCGAATATCTTTGCATAGAAATCCGGTGATGCGCAAGCCCGAATCTTGGTCTCTCCCCCTCATGCCCGATTTAAACCTTTGTGGTGTAGAAATATAGTTAAGTAGCGAACAGATGTCTATGTGTTGTACTTAAGTACATCTCTGTTCATCCACTTTGAGGGAATGTGCAGAGCAGTGGCCTGTTGGATCAGTCTGAAGGAAAGCATGCAAGGAAATGAGCAAGGCCACATTCGCACGCACTTCCGTCGGAACCTGGCAGCTGCTTTAACGGACATTTACGCTTTCGGAAGCCTTCCAGGCGCCTGCTTGGAGCTGAAGCCTTCCAGGCGCTGAAGCAGCAGGCCTCTCCGCGGAGAGAGCCCGGGTTTTCCACGCGCCCTTTTCTCCCCACTCCGAGCTCCTGACACTCGTGCCTGTGCTTTTCCTGGACCGCCAAGCCGCTACGATCGGTGCTCGCTGGCTTACCGCTTAGGCTTTCGATATGTGGTAGTGGGTATACCTGAAAGTCTTGATGCCGCCAGGCTGTGCCCACCGGACTTGCAACAAATAGCATGTCCTATGTCCAACTTCCAATATCTGTGGGCAGCCTCTTGCAGGGCGACGAAACTAAAGCCATAGAAAAGTGCCGGTTTCGCGGTCCTCTGTCTCAGCAGACTGGCGGCACGTGGCACAGAAGTAAGCCTCGCCGCAGACGGAGCAGGCCTGGAGCAGCGCGCCGTGTCCACTGACCCCTTGGAGGCAAAAGCGCCAGGTCTGGGTCTGTGCTTTTCTGGGGAAGACTGTAAGGCTCGAAAGGCTCTCGACTTTTGCACGCTTCAGTCTCTCTTGGCCCTGGACGGAAGCAGGAGCGACAGCGGAAGGGTCGGGCCGGAAGTGCCAAGGCGACGGCCCAAATCCGCGCTGTCAACACCCCCTCGAAACGAGGAATCTGCGAGGCCTCGATAGAAGCTGCGATACGCTCAGCTCCGGACTCCGGAGCAGCATTCCGGCTTGTGAAACTCCGGGGCTCCGACTGCAAAGACTCCGCGGCCCTTGGACTTTGTTTCTCGGATCTCCAAGTAGGGCGCCAGCAGCCGGTCACGTGCCATGCAGAAAAAAAAAAACGAGAAACCCGACAGCTACAGCGGCGTGCGGGCAAGTCTCTCCTCTCTCTCCTCTTTTTCATCTGTTTGCAACTCTGTTCAGTCTTCAAGTCCACAACATCCCGAAGCAACTTTTTGGCGTGCAAAGGTGAAAGGTGAGCACAGTTCATGAAACGAGTCCGTCAGGGTGAAACTGGGCCATCTGACCTCGGCAGCTCACGCGCACACACAGACACACACCCACACACCTACACTCACACCCACATGCACACCAACACACACCCACAAACCAGTCATCCTTACTTAGATGGATGCTGTTTGTGCTAGTTCATTGCATCACAGCTGTTTGATTATTCCAGCGCCACAGGATGCCACAGGGGGCCCACTGTTTGACAGCCACGCGCCGATGCGCCTCCACCTTCGTCCTCCTGGGCGCTCCTCCATATGAGGCCGCTGCTGCCCCGGTCGCGCGAACTTCGCATCACCACCTTTGCTCTAGGCCTTCGCAAATTCCACAATGGGAAGTTCAGAAGCCTCCTGATGGTCGGCCTATCTCCCTCACAGCTGAAGTGTGGTGCCACACAGTCGGCTGCGGGATACGCCCCACCGTTGCTGCATGGGTCCTTCACTACCCTTGTTTTGTGCAATTCCCCAGCTCGGTATGATCTTGAGGCCTTGCCCCGCCAAGCATCCGCCGTCCGGGCCAAAGCTTTCTGTTACCAATTACAGGTTGATGCGAAGGATTTCTCTGGCTCTCAGTGTTTCGTCCGGGTCCGCCCTCCGCAAAAACCTCCTTTCACCTGCCTGCACGTCCGTTTGGAGTAGATGGTTCAGGTGTAATGACGTCATTCCCACCAGCTCTGGTCGTTGCAGGTCTTTGATGACAGCAAATTCGACTTAGGCTAGAGACTTTCTCAGGGCAACAGGGATCTGTGCCACACCGCTAAAAAGAGTGAGGGTCTGCGCGAGCTGTGTTCTGAGCTAAAGCCTTTGCTTAGCTGCTACGAACGAACCTTAGGATGGCGGGAAGGCAGTGCTAGCTAGTGTACGCACTCGTGCCGAGGTACGAGGTACGACCGTGTATGCTAGCGCCATACTTCCTCTATGA